GAGGAAGGCATTGATGCTATGGATTGGCCCGCCCGTTCCCCAGACCTGAATCCAATTGAGCACATCTGGGACATCATGTCTCGCTCCATCCACCAACGCCACGTTGCACCACAGACTGTCCAGGAGTTGGCGGATGCTTTAGTCCAGGTCTGGGAGGAGATCCCTCAGGAGACCATCCGCCACCTCATCAGGAGCATGCCCAGGCGTTGTAGGGAGGTCATACAGGCACGTAGAGGCCACACACACTACTGAGCCTCATTTTGACTTGTTTTAAGGACATTACATCAAAGTTGGATCAGCCTGTAGTGTGGTTTTCCACTTTAATTTTGAGGGTGACTCCAAATCCAGACCTCCATGGGTTGATAAATTTGATTTCCATTGATAATTATTGTGTGATTTTGTTGTCAGCACATTCAACTATGTAACGAAAAAAGTATTTAATAAGATTATTTCATTCATTCAGATCTAGGATGTGTTATTTTAGTGTTCCCTTAATTTTTTTGAGCAGTGTATATATATATATATATATATATATATATATATATATATATATATATGTAACCAGGAGTAATAGTGACCAGTAGCAGAATAAATATACAGAACAAAAATATAAACGCAACATGTAAAGTGTTGGTCCCATGTTTCATGAGCTGAAATAAAAGATCCCAGCTTATCTATCTGAAATTTTGTGCACAAATGTGTTTACATCACTGTTAGTTATAATTTCTCCTTTGCCAAGATAATCCACCCATCTGACAGGTGTAGCATATCAACAAGCTGATTAAACAGCATGATCATTACACAGGTGCACCTTGTACTGGGGACAATAAAAGGCCACTCTAAAATGTGCAGTTTTGTCACACAACACAATGCCACAGATGTCTCAAGTTTTGAGGGAGTGTGCAATTGGCAGGCTGACTGCAGGAATGTCCACCAGAGCTGTTTCCAGATAATTTAATGTTCATTTCTCTACCATAAGCTGCCTCCAACGTCGTTTTAGAGAATTTGGCAGTACGTCCAACCGGCCTCACAATCACAGACTACGTGTAACCATGCCAGCCCAGGACCTCCACATCTGGCTTCTTCACCTGCGGGATCGTCGGAGGCAGTGCTGAGGAGTATTTATGTCTGTAATAAAGCCCGTTTGTGGGGAAAAACTCATTCTGATTGGCTGGGCCTGGCTCCCAAGTGGTGGCCCTATGCCCTCCCAGGCCCACCCATGGCTGCATCCTTGCCCAGTCACGTGAAATCCATAGATATGGGCCTAATTTATTTATTTCAATTGACTGATTTCCTTATATACTGTAAACTGTAGCTCAGTAAAATCTTTGAAATTGTTGCATGTTGCGTTGTTGTTTGCCATTTAATAGTCTTATGGCCAGGGGATCTAAGCTGTTTAGGAGTCTGTTGGTCTGAGACTTGATGCACCTGTACCGCCTGCCAGACGGGAGCATGGAGAACAGTCTATGTCTCGGGTGGCTGGAGACTTTGGCAATTTTCCGAGCCTTTCTCAGATACCGCCTGGCATGTACGTCCTGGAAGGCTGGGAACTCACCCCCAGTGATGCGCTGTGCTGTCCGCACCACCCTCTGTAGGGCCTTCTGGTCGAGGATGGTGCAGTTGCCATACCAGACGGTGACACAACCAGTCAGGATGCTCTCAATGGTTGCGTTGTCAACCAAACACAATTCAATATTACTTTTGTAATACAGTAAATAGCCTAAAGTTAAGGCTATCTTACAAACCAATGTAACATTGAACCTTAAAATGAGTAACACATCCATGGTCTTCTTCTGTAATCATATAAAGCATGCATGTTCAAGATAGCATGCATAGGTCATCGCAGGTCTCTGGAGATCTTCACAATTGCTATAATAATCTGTGCATGTCACGATCGTTACATGAAGACTCGGACCAAGGCGCAGCGTGATAGGCGTACATACTTTATTTAGTACTGAACCCGAACAAAAACAACAAACCAAAACGATACGTGAAGTCCTAGGTTATACAACAAACCAAACGGAACAAGATCCCACAATAAACTAGTGAAAACAGGCTGCCTAAGTATGGTCCCCAATCAGAGACAACAAGCTACAGCTGTCTCTGATTGGGAACCACCCTGGCCAACATAGAAATAAACGATCTAGAACCAAACCCATAGAAAACTAAACATAACAAGTCCACACCCTGGCTCAACATTTAAGAGTCCCCAGAGCCATGGCGTGACAGTACCCCCCCCCAAAGGCGCGGACTGCGACCGTGCCAACCAAACACAACAGGGGAGGGGCCGGGTGGGCATTCCGCCTCGGAGGCGGATCCGGTGACCACCACTCTCCCTCTACCCCCCGTAGCGCCCCTGGTCTGGTCTGGCTCCGCTGGCCGGAGCTGGACTGGACACCGGTGGAGCGGATTGCTCTGGCTCCGGAGTGGAGCAGCTGACCGGTGCCGGACCAGGCACCGGTGGAACAGGCACGGACCGTGCCGGACTGACGACGCACACCACTGGCTTGGTGCGGGGAGCAGGAACGGGCCGGACCGGGCTGGCGACGCGCACCACTGGCTTGGTGCGGGGAGCAGGAACGGGCCGGACTGGGCTGACGACGCGCACCACTGGCTTGGTGCGGGGAGCAGGAACGGGCCGGACCGGGCTGACGACGCGCACCACTGGCTTGGTGCGGGGAGCAGGAACGGGCCGGACTGGGCTGACGACGCGCACCACTGGCTTGGTGCGGGGAGCAGGAACGGGCCGGACCGGGCTGACGACGCGCACCACTGGCTTGGTGCGAGGGACAGGAACAGGCTGGACCAGGCTGACGACGCACACCACAGGCTTGGTGCGAGGGACAGGAACAGGCCGGACCGGGCTGGCGACGCGCACCACAGGCTTGGTGCGAGGGACAGGAACAGGCCGGACCGGGCTGACGAAGCGCACCACAGGCTTGGTGCGAGGGACAGGAAAAGGCCGGACCGGGCTGTGGAGGCGGACTGGAGGTCTGGAGCGGAGAGCTGACACAACCCGTCCTGGCTGAATGCCTATCTCCACACCCTGTGTGTGAGGCATCAGCACAGGACGTACAGGGCTGTGCACTCATACTGGCGCTACAGCACGTGGCACTGGCGCAGGATATCCGGGACCGAGGAGGGGTACTGGAGGCCACGAGCGTTGAGCCGGCACACTCCGTCCTGGCTGCATGCCCACCTTAGCACGACACGTGCGTGGTGCTCGCACAGGACGTACAGGACTGTGCCGGAACACTCGCGGCACAGTACGTGGCTCCGCATAACCCGGAGCCTGCCCAGTCTCACGCTGCCTAGCCTGAGTACGGGGAGTTTGCTCTGCTCTACCTCTAGGCTCCTCCAACCACCCTTCCAGTCCCCCAAACCTGGTGGCCTCCTCTCCTAGATCGCCGATGCGCCCTGTAGCTGCCTCCAGCAGCCCCGTCGTCCACGCCGTGTGCCCCCCAAAAAAAATTACTTGGGGTTGCCACTCGCGTGTCTGTCGTCGGCACGGTTGGCGCCGTTTCTCCTCTCCTGCCTGGGCCTTTACTTTTGCCCATGGCCCTCTGCCCGCGAAAATGTCCTCCCAAGACCACCATTCGCCCACCTGGGACATCGCCAACTTCTCCTGTTTGGCACGCTGCTTGGTCCTCTGAAGGTGGGATCTTCTGTCACGATCGTTACATGAAGACTCGGACCAAGGCGCAGCGTGATAGGCGTACATACTTTATTTAGTACTGAACCCGAACAAAAACAACAAACCAAAACGATACGTGAAGTCCTAGGTTATACAACAAACCAAACGGAACAAGATCCCACAATAAACTAGTGAAAACAGGCTGCCTAAGTATGGTCCCCAATCAGAGACAACAAGCTACAGCTGTCTCTGATTGGGAACCACCCTGGCCAACATAGAAATAAACGATCTAGAACCAAACCCATAGAAAACTAAACATAACAAGTCCACACCCTGGCTCAACATTTAAGAGTCCCCAGAGCCAGGGCTTGACAGTGCAGAATCTCATTGATCACTTGCACCATGACCTTTTAATGTAATCATAACTGGCCATTTGGTTCTGCTATTAGATGAAGCACAGTGATAACAGATGAATCTGTTGTATAAATAAACAAAATATCTGACATTGTATACCCATTTGAACTTTGCTGTGCTTTTAAATGGTTGAAAGCACAGCGATAGACATTTGGGTGACAACTAAACCAAAATCAGATATTGTTTTTCCATTGGAATTTGGTTGTAATTTTAGATGGTTGAAAGCATATTGATGATAATACATTGGAAATTCAACTAACTTTTGGCTGTCTTTTTGAGTGGGTGAATATAGGTTGTAATCTCATTGAATAATGTCTCAACCAAATATTACCCAATTATCCACGTTGAAATGACATATCTCTGAAAGCCAAGGCCCACCCAGCCTCCCCAGCCCTCCCTTCACCCTCTCCCGGGGGGCTTGTGTCTGTGCAATGATAAAGTTGAGTTTCTCTCCAACCACAGAGTACTGGAATAATCTGGTTTGAACTGAACTGCACTGGGTTGGAGCTCTCCCTCCCTCTCGTTTACAAGCGGCTGGATATCTGAGGCTGACATCAGGCTGCGGCGGGCGGCGCTCTTCCTCCTGCCTGTTGCAGTACTGGGGTTTCACTACTGTATCATAGCAGCCCCATGCGGCCACCCCGGCTCCCATGGTTACACACAACCAGACACATCAGGGAGACAGAGAGAGAGAATGAAAAGAGGAAGAGAAGGAAGAAGACAGAGGGGTGGGGACGTAAAGATAAAGAGAGTAAGGCGTGAGGGGAGGGGGTAAAGAGTGAAGTAGGAAAATAAAGTGAGACAAAAGAGGATGGGAAAGAGGTAGAGAAAGAGGAGATACGTGTGGGGAGAGTGGCAGTTACAGTCTGTTGCAGGCCATGCCCTTGCTTGTGTAACTGCCATACTGTTCTGCTATGTGTGGTGTTCTCTGACGCAGAATGGATTGGATTTAGATTCCCCCACTGGTGCTATAACAGATCAACAGATGGTCGGTCTTCTTGGCTGAGAGTCTCGCCAATATCTCTTTATACCAAAAATAGATTTGTTTCTATGTTTTATTTTTTCTGTCTTTATAATGTATGCGGCTACATCTAAAAATACTTATCACCAAAGTTGCATTTCTTTCTATAAACCTTTGAGAGGTAAAATAAAGCGTCCACTCACCCTGTCCGTTGGAGTAGTAGATCCACTTCTCCTTGGTCTGTGTCGGGGGACAGGTCTTCTTCTGGATGGCCTTCTCAATGATGCTGCTGGGGTCCTGGACTGGCCCCTTCTTCAGCACTCTGGAGCTCCTCTTCACGCTGCACACCACAATCACCACCAGCACCAGCAGCAGCAACAGAACGATCATCCAGGGCAGGTGCTCGTTGATGTCAAAGTGCATATGAGTGCTGGGCCTGGGGGAGCCTCTCCACGTGGGCCTGTACCCTGTGCTCTGCACCCCTCTGCCCACCCCCACACCAGCTCCATCCTCCACGCCATCCATGGCCCGCTTGTTGGCCGCCAGGTGGGTGCGGTGGTTATCACTGGGAACAGAGTACTTGTGGTGTGGTAGAGTCCGTGGGGAGTCCAGTGCTCCAGGCGTAGCGTCCAGGTTCAGGACCTCTCCATTGTCTTCGGAGGAGCCTGCTGGGGGGGAATCCTGGCCATGGCTGGGGCTGGGTAGAATCCCTGTGGCACTCATTAAGAGCTCTAAGTCCTCAGCACCTGCTGTCAGGCTGAAGTTGTCTAACCCACAGAGACACACAAACAAAAATAGAAAGGAAGAGAGAGAACAAGGGAGGAGCACGAGAGAGACAAAGGGGGAGGGAGATGCGGAGAACGAGAATTAAATTCAGTCCAAAGATGAGCTAAACCCAGACTACAACAACACAGAAGGGAGAAATGTAATCCCACAGGCAATCTGCTGGACAGCTGTGGAAGGGAAGGGCCCCACCCTGGCCAGGCCCCAACTGTGATCTCCATTCTAATCTGACACGAGAAGAGCACTAGATTGCTCCTTCTACAGCCACCACATTCATACAGTACTCTACTAAAGCTGGAGTAAATTCCATTACAGCTCCAGTCTCAGCAGGGAATAAATTATATATTTAATTGAGTTGAAAAGAGGTCAACAATGTATGCCTAAAGACATTCATGTGACAGTTAGTCAATTAAGATTGAACTGGATTGAACTGGAGATTACTATTGCCCCATAAAAAAGATAGCAGGCACAAACGTCTAAGTTACACTGCCTTTATAAGCTACTGTAGAAACAAAATTAGCCAATCAATAGGGGAGTTGTGATTCCTTCCACTGAACCTGAATCAATACTGTAAAAACTCCCTAACCCTGAACTGGAATACCCCTGTCTACTACTATAGTACTAAACATATTAGAATTTCATAATGGCATCATATAGGGGGATGCTTTTGGGATTGGCACCTGGATCATTGGTAATCTTTGTGATCCTATTAACAGTGCACTGGTAATCCAAAAGCAAGCTGTTGTATTGGTATCTCCATCTGAACACCGCTGAATAAAATAGAAAGGATATTTTTCCCATTCCAGAGCGGGGTGCACGCATATGATGTGGCTATGTTGAGCATAAAAAAGGACAATTTGAAACAGGTCCTATACGCTAGATTTAGAGTTATTTGGCAAATTTCGTTGTGAATGATACAAACCTTAGAAGTCAAAAGATATATGGGCTGCATGATGCGACTATAGGCTATTGATTATTTGAGAAAATCCAAAAAAAAGCTTGCGCTCTGTTCCTTGCCTCAGGCTGCACATGACGTTTGCTCATCAAGTGATCATATTTTCACCCATCAGACTGTTCTCCATTGAATCTTGTGTTTACTAATATGTAAAATTAGCTTCAATTTAGAATGGCCCATATCAAATGGGCAAACATGGCAAGACAATAGACATTCCGTATGCCACTGCGAATGGGGCAGGAGGTACGTGTTTCATTCATCCATAGGCTATTCTGTATTCGTGTACAGGTGAATATTCCGCCCAAATCTGTAGCAGCTCTCCAACCGTCGTGCAGCACCAGTGCTTAATTTGGGAAACCAAGTGAAACTGTCGGGAACTCGATAGAACAGTTTTCACAACGAAACATATCATTAAAAACTTTTGACAGACCCTCTCTCTGCGCGCTGGAGAAAGGAATGAAGGAGAGAAGGGAGGAGATGGAAACTTACGGGGGTGAGATATTCTGTAGCTAAAGGTAATGTGTCAGCCTATTAATTATGAAATTACACCCAAAAAAAACATATTACTAGCCTATTCAAAATCAAATACAAATTCACTATAATTGTAGTCTAAATCTGAATGTGTTTAATTTAGGCTAGACCAATTATGTACCAAAGACATCTTAAATCGTAGCCGATGTGAGCAAGACTTTTAAACAGGTCAACATTCACAAGGCCGCGGGGCCAGACGGATTACCAGGACGTGCACTCAGAGCATGCGCGGACCAACTGGCAAGTGTTTTCATTGACATTTTCAACCTCTCCCGAGTCTGTAATACCTACATGTTTCAAGCAGACCACCATAGTCCATGTGCCCAAGAACACTAAGGTAACCTACCTAAATGACTACCGCCCCGTAGCACTCACGTCTGTAGCCATGAAGTGCTTTGAAAGGCTGGTCATGGCTCAAATCAACACCATCATCCCAGAAACCCTAGACCGACTCCAATTCGCATACCGCCCCAACAGATCCACAGATGACGCAATCTCAATCGCACTCCACACTGTCCTTTCCCACCTGGACAAAAGGAACACCTATGTGAGAATACTGTTCATTGACTACAGCTCAGCATTCAACACCATAGTGCCCACAAAGCTCATCACTAAGTTAAGGACCCTGGGACTAAACACCTCCCTCTGCAACTGGATCCTGGGATTCCTGACTGGGCCGCCCCCAGGTGGTAAGGGTAGGCAACAACACATCTGCCACGCTGATCCTCAATACGGGGGCCCCTCAGGGGTGCGTGCTTAGTCCCCTCCTGTACTCCCTGTTCACCCACGACTGTGTGGCCAAGCACGACTCCAACACCATCATTAAGTTTGCTGACGACACAACGGTGGTAGGCCTGATCACCGACAACGATGAGACAGCCTATAGGGAGGAGGTCAGAGACCTGGCAGTGTGGTGCCAGGACAACAACCTCTCCCTCAACGTGAGCAAGACAAAGGAGATGATCGGGGACTACAGGAAAAGGAGGGCTGAACACGCCCCCATTCACATTGACGGGGCTGTAGTGGAGCGGGTTGAGAGTTTCAAGTTCCTTGGTGTCCTCATCACCAACAAACTATTATGGTCCAAACACACCAAGAAAGTCGTGAGAGGGCACGACAATGCCTTTTCCCCCTCAGGAGACTGAAAAGATTTGGCATTGGTCCCCAGATCCTCAAAAAGTTCTACAGCTGCACCATCGAGAGCATCCTGACCAGTTACATTACCGCCTGGTATGGTAACTGCTCTGCCAAAAAATTGTCAAAGACTCCAGGCACCCAAGTCATAGACTGTTCTCTCTGCTACCGCACAACAAGCGGTACCGGAGCGCCAAGTCTAGGTCCAAAAGGCTCCTTAACAGCTTCTGCCCCCAAGCCATAAGGCTGCTGAACAATTAATCAAATGGCCACCCGGACTATTTGCATTGACACACCCACTTTGTTTTTACACTGTTGCCAGTCGCTGTTTATTATCTATGCATAGTCACTTTACCCCTACCTACATGGACAAATTACCTCGACTAACCTGTACCCCCGCACATTGACTCGGTACCAGTACCCCCTGTATATAGCCTCATTATTGTTATTTTATTGTGTTACTTGTTTATTTGTATTTTATTCATTTATTTAGTAAATATTTTCTTAACTCAATTTTCTTCAAACTGCATTGTTGGTTAAGGGCTTGTAAGTAAGCATTTCATGTGACAAATACAATTTGATTTGATTTGATTTTAAATCAGTATTAATAATCAGTATATGTTTTTCTGCCATGTGTAATATGCAGTAGGTTATGTATTGTATAACGGCACAATCATTATTTTAATTCAGGTTTTGGGGGGGGATTGGGCTCATATACAGGCCTATGCTTATGCATAAGCTCTAATATGCATATGGGTGTTTTTAATTAATCATCACCTTAGAAAGCGCTGTCCATTTCGTTGTGTTAGGTTTTGAAACAACATCCACAACGACCATGTTTCCCACTCAGTGTCAACCTATTGTTGAATTGCTTTCTTCAAATTGATCAATCACAGTGAGGTGAGTTTTAAAAACACATACTGTGCTTTTATTGATGTCAGAGTGCGTTTGCATTGATGTCAGAGTGGTTCGAGGGACAATAGAGCCCTGAGTACCAGGCCATTAGCGACCTGATGATTGTTAGCGAGTTGGGTACTACGAATGCATATCCAGAGTGCATAAGAGGAGATTACCATGACGCAACAGTCACATAGAATTTTACTGCCGTCATGAGTCCGGTGTGGCGGTAATACGGACACCAACTAAATCGTTTGTCAGTCTCTGAGAACTATGTTGCCATAGTAACATTATCAGTGAGTAACTACTTGTAGCATTTCCGGAATGTGCAGTATCTTCTCTGACCATCAATTTTCTTTTTTTAAATATTTGCGTAAAAGAAAACTGTTTCATAATTTCTAGGAGACAAAAGTATTTAACATTTTCTGAGACTTCCCTTCCCTGCATATAGACAGCCTAACATTTGACTTGAATGCGTTTATCTGTTTCCGATGAGCATCCTTTGTGATCGTTGTCAATATGACCTGTTACATAACACTTGGCTGGGAAACAAATTGTGGAGAACTAAAAACAGCCCCTACAAAGGAAGCTTTCTCTCTCTTGAGCCCCAATGGCTTCCCCTTGTCTTCCTATACATGTGATGTATTTAAGTAAAAGGGCAACCTTTTACCCAGGTTATTCCCCTTTCCCCTCTACAGACATTACCTTTTACGGACTAGACTGAGAACAAGGAAGTGAGTAGTCTGGGAATGGTATGGAAACAACAACATGTTTTCCACCAAAGCAGTGTTGTCTGTGACAAGACCAAACATTACATTTTTACATTTTTAGTCATTTAGCAGACACTCTTATCCAGAGCGACTTACAGTTAGTGAGTGCATATATTTTCATACTGGCCCCCCAAACATGTCACCTTATCACTGTGTATAGTACTAGCCGGGCCAATGTTTGACGTGCCAGACTAAATAGGGGAGAATAACAGCCATGTGGGGACAGGTCTTTTAGGAACACAAGCCTGTTCTACAGTCTGGGTTTCCCCTAGAGTTTCTACATGAGAATGACAACCCCCTGAGGGCATGTCTAGGGTGATACTCAAATGAAACACAACATAGCCAGGGTGGGGGAGCAACAGATGTAAAGTAGTTGAGGGAGTCGGGTCCACTGCCCCAGGGCACTGCCTTACCTTTATGTACTGGGCCAGCTGAGGAGGAGGAAGAGGAGGGCTCCTGGACGAAGGCAGACTGTGCAGGTCCCAGAAGGGTGGGGGAGGTGGGAGAAGCAGGTCCACAGATGTTGTCTGTCTCTCTAGTGCCCGCTGCCAGTAGGGGCAGACCCTGGGCCAGGCAGTCTGTGTGTGTCCTGCACCTCAACACACTGGAGACCATATCCGAGAAGCTCCCCCTTGCGCATGCCTTACATCGCACATCCTCCACATCGTTGCCCCTCTTCTTAACCCCTGAGCCCACAGGGCACAGAGAGTGGGCCGTGCAGCTGTCGCCCTGGGCGAAGGTTTCTGGAGGGCAGGTGCAGATCCGGTCTGAGGTGGCCGTGCAGGGGACCTTCTCAACGAGGGGCGCGCGGCAGGGCCTCCTGCAGCGGTGGCAATGCTGAACCCCGTTCTCTCCGTGCGTGAATGTGCCCTCGTCACAGCGGCTGCAATCCCTCACGTTGGTCTGGGTACAGTGTCTGGACACGAAGGTGCCCGCGGGGCACTTGTCACAGACCAGCTGAATGCCTGTGCTGGGGTCTGTGTGGTAGTAGCGGCGGGCAGACAGGGCCTTTGTCACAGTGCCTCGGCTGGGTGTCAGAGGCTGGCTGGAGGCCTCATCAACCACACTGTACAGTAGCTGAGAACAGAAAGAAACGACAACAGAGACAGTGTTGGGCTTAGACAATGTACTGCAGAAAATACGAAAATACATAGAGTTGCAGTTAGAGACCCAGGCCTCAGCTCATTTACCAAATTGATGTGTGAAAACAACCACAGCTAAGGCAAAGTCACCCCTAGAAACCAAACAAGTGCATTGAGTCAACATTACAGGACACACCTGGTGCTTAGCCACCTACCGTACTGGCTTCCCACATTCTGTAATATGACAGAAGCTAGGCCATGGCCAGGGGGCATGCTCTGACAGTGACATCATCATGGAATGGAGAAGTCTATTATGTCATCAATCAATATAATTCCATAAGTACTGGTAGATTGTTACGTTTTTCTGTTAACAATCTTTTGGTGTTGTTGCTTCAACCTTTAATAGATCCAATAAACTAATTGAAATTGAAATAACTAATTAAACTTCTCTATAAAGAGAATAAATATATATTAGTCTATGTTTTAACAAGGCAAGGTCCACATGGTTGTATTTAGTTATTTTCAGAAATGTAAAATATTTATGTTAAGGACATCCATCCAAGGGACATGAAAATATTTCAGATTCTCAGTAACATCAACTTGGCTGATGTTCTAAACAGCACGTTGAGGAATTTCATCAAGATAAAATCTGGTGAAAACACACAGTAGCCAATGTTCTGTTGATGTGTGATGTCCTTCTGTTTGACTTTCACTGACAGGCATTCTTTCAGCACCAGTAAACACTTCCATTCTGAAGTGATTATGGCTTGAATGTGTTCCATGGCAGTGAATGCCATCTGCATCCACAACAGCCCTCCTCCACTTCTTTCACTGCATTTACATCCAGTCTAGCCCTATGCAGATCCTACATAAAATTCCTTCTAATAACAGACCGCATGTTTTATTTCCTCTCTTAAATGTGGGGCTGGATGGGAATGGCTCTGTTTATCTCACATTTTTGTCAAGGGTGCCAGTTCGCCACAGAAATATGATGTTTGAGGCTATAACCGCCGATATGCAGGGAAAGCAAGGAGAGCTGCATCATCACTTTCTGAACATGCAGAACCCTGTTAAAAGTTGTGGGTAAATCCAGTGTTTTTAATGGTTTACATACTGCAGTAGACCTACCAGAGAAACGAGAATGCCCTAATTCATCTCAGAGATGTGGGGTGGGGTATTAATATTCTCAGAGCATCTCATCAGGAGCGGGACAATAAAATGCCAGCCTCCTCCGCTGCTGCTCCCCGTTTGGCTCAGAAGCACATGTTGTTCTCCGTGATGTGATGGCTGGGGACCTGGCGGGACCCTTTAACAATTTTGAGGGGAGGGGGAGTGAGACCAAACTCTGCTGAACATGAATAGAGATTAGCAGTTTTCCCACAAGCCTGATGTCCTAAACTGAACCACAGCAAAACAGACTGGAGAACTGAATAAACATCCCTGGGTTTGAAGTCAGGCACTGGAGGGGACAGTAATTCTGCTGATGACTGGACAATGAGTGGACTCCTCTCCTCTACTCAACACCGGGATTAAAAAATATAATTTAATATGCACAGAGGGATCTGTTAGCAGAAAATATATTTTATTAACAAAAAGTAAACAAATTAGTTAGATTTTTTTGTTGTTGCAGTTTTACAGCTAATTTCCTGCAATTCTACTATTCTAACTCTCAACAGTAAGTTGAGACCCCGACTGAGTTCCCCAAAAAACTCTAGTAACAACTATCTGTTCATGTTATGATGTGTAAATTCACCCCTGAAGAACAATGGACATTTTAAGATAAGTAAGGTGCAACTAAGGGCAACATCATAACTCAAACCACATCATTTTCAGCCGACACACTCTGGCTGTTGATTGTTTTTTTTAAATGTTTTATTTAACCTTTATTTAACTAGGCAAGTCAGTTAAGAACAAATTCTTATTTAAAATGACAGTCTATCCTGGCAAAACCTGGACGACGCTGGGCCGCCCTAAGGGACTCGCAATCACAGCCAGATTGGGATACAGCCTGGAATCGAACCAGGGTCTGTAGTGACACCTCTAGCACTAAGATGCAGTGCCTTAGACCACTGCGCCACTGGGTAGCCCAATGACAATATGTCCTGAAGGTCAAAATGTTCCAGCTTCAACCTTGTCACGTTTATCCAATAAAAAACAAGTGTGAAACTGGTTATTTTCAATATGTGACACACTGTTCTTAGGGACATTGGTTTGGTGGCCTGAAACTGGTGGCCTGAAACTGACATTTATTGACAGTGTGTGGTGTGAATGAATGTGTGTGTACGTGTGCGTGCGAGCGAGAGAGTGTATGTCCCTCCCTTATAGCTCAGATAAGAGAGCAGGCTCGTGTCAATGCATATCCTGTTTGAAAAAACACACTGCTGGCATCCTGTCATAAGACTGCTGCTGTCTGAGAGAGACTAAATTTACATTATTTAGCAGACACTCTTATCCAGAGCGACTTACAGTTAGTGAGTGCATACATTATTTTTTTAATACTAGCCCCCCGTGGGAATCAAACCCACAACCCTGGCGTTGCAAACACCATGCTCTACCAACTGAGCTACATCTCTGCCGGCCATTCCCTCCCCTACCCTGGACAACGCTGGGCCAATTGTGCGCCGCCCCATGGGTCTCCCGGTCACGGCCGGCTACAACAGAGCCTGGATTCAAACCAGGATCTCTAGTGGCACAGCTAGCACTGCGATGCAGTGCCTTAGACCACTGCGCCACTCGGGAGATAGACTACCCACAATCATCACACCACACCGCCTGTGAGTTGCCATGACTCACTGATAACTACCCTCTAAATCTAGCCCAACCCTCTTTAGCATTTCATACCTGCCATGTAGGATACAAAGAGAAGGGGATAAATACTGTAGTCTAATCTGGTTTGTAGATATTGTATACAGCAGTATACTCTAAATATAATACATTTGATACATGATCAATGTGTATAGCCTACATATAGAGTATACAGTGGGGGAAAAAAGTATTTAGTCAGCCACCAATTGTGCAAGTTCTCCCACTTAAAAAGATGAGAGAGGCCTGTAATTTTCATCATAGGTACACGTCAACTATGACAGACAAAATGAGAAAAGAAAATCCAGAAAATCACATTGTAAGATTTTTAATGAATTTATTTGCAAATTATGGTGGAAAATAAGTATTTGGTCAATAACAAAAGTTTCTCAATACTTTGTTATATACCCTTTGTTGGCAATGACACAGGTCAAATGTTTTCTGTAAGTCTTCACAAGGTTTTCACACACTGTTGCTGGTATTTTGTCCCATTCCTCCATGCAGATCTCCTCTAGAGCAGTGATGTTTTGGGGCTGTCGCTGGGCAACACGGACTTTCAACTCCCTCCAAAGATTTTCTATGGGGTTGAGATCTGGAGACTGGCTAGGCCACTCCAGGACCTTGAAATGTTTCTTATGAAGCCACTCCTTCGTTGCCCGGGCGGTGTGTTTGGGATCATTGTCATGCTGAAAGACCCAGCCACGTTTCATCTTCAATGCCCTTGCTGATTGAAGGAGGTTTTCACTCAAAATCTCACGATACATGGCCCCTTTCATTCTTTCCTTTACACGGATCAGTCGTCCTGGTCCCTTTGCAGAAAAACAGCCCCAAAGCATGATGTTTCCACCCCCATGCTTCACAGTAGGTATGGTGTTCTTTGGATGCAACTCAGCATTCTTTGTCCTCCAAACACGACGAGTTGAGTTTTTACCAAAATGTTCTATTTTGGTTTCATCTGACCATTTGACATTCTCCCAATCCTCTTCTGGATCATCCAAATGCACTCTAGCAAACTTCAGACGGGCCTGGACATGTACTGGCTTAAGCAGGGGGACACGTCTGGCACTGCAGGATTTGAGTCCCTGGCGGCGTAGTGTGTTACTGATGGCAGGCTTTGTTACTTTGGTCCCAGCTCTCTGCAGGTCATTCACTAGGTCCCCCCGTGTGGTTCTGGGATTTTTGCTCACCGTTCTTGTGATCATTTTGACCCCACGGGGTGAGATCTTGCTTGGAGCCCCAGATCAAGGGAGATTATCAGTGGTCTTGTATGTCTTCCATTTCCTAATAATTGCTCCCACAGTTGATTTCTTCAAACCAAGCTGCTTACCTATTGCAGATTCAGTCTTCCCAGCCTGGTGCAGGTCTACAATTTTGTTTCTGGTGTCCTTTGACAGCTCTTTGGTCTTGGCCATAGTGGAGTTTGGAGTGTGACTGTTTGAGGTTGTGGACAGGTGTCTTTTATACTGATAACAAGTTCAAACAGGTGCCATTAATACAGGTAACGAGTGGAGGACAGAGGAGCCTCTTAAAGAAGAAGTTACAGGTCTGTGAGAGCCAGAAATCTTGCTTGTTTGTAGGTGACCAAATACTTATTTTCCACCATAATTTGCAAATAAATTCATAAAAAATCCTACAATGTGATTTTCTGGAGAGAAAAAAATCTCAATTTGTCTGTCATAGTTGACGTGTACCTATGATGAAAATTACAGGCCTCTCTCATCTTTTTAAGTGGGAGAACTTGCACAATTGGTGGCTGACTAAATACTTTTTCCCCCCACTGTATCTGTTGATAGGACATCATTAATACTAAAGCCATAGCAGGGCTAGTGCTACTATGACTCATATGTTTATAGCTGAGCTCCAGGAGGTCAGCGAGTGATATCAGGATGCTCCCTCCCTGCCTGGAGGACAGAGGAGTGGCTCCCGGGTGGCGCAGCGGTCTAAGGCACTGCATATCAGTGCTTGAGGTGTCACTACAGACCCCCTGGTTCGATTCCAGGCTGTATCACAACCGGCCGAGATTGGGAGTCCCATAGGGCGGCGCACAGTTGGCCGGTGTAGGCCGTCATTGTAAATAAGAATTTGTTCTTAACTGACTTGCCTAGTTAAATCAAAAAAGAAGGAGGAGAGGACGGCCAGACCATTTATGCCGTGCTGCTGCAGGGCTGGTTCCTGGAGACAGCCAGACTCAGCTAAATCTGCCTGTCTGAACTCTCTGTAATTCAACCTCCAACAACAACACGC